GATGCCCAAAAATAGAGCCAGCAGAGTGAATGCAATTGAGCTCGAGCAGCTCTTGCAGAGCTGTTGCCATTGTGAGTCACAAGTGTGACTGTTGTGTCCTAATGACGCTGGGGGGGGGGGGGGGGGGGGGGGGGGGGGGGGGTGGGGGAGGGGCGGGGGGAGGGTGGGCGGCTGGGAACAGCAGATGCAGCTCTTGTGTTCCCCCAGACCTTTGTCATCCGCGTGGTCTTCCCTTCATTCAGATCCTGGTTGCTACGATACAATGTGGAAGATGACACTCAAGCTCAACACGCAGACAAACGCATAAAATCTGCTTTAAGTTAGCACATTCTGAGATTTTTTTCTTACTATTTCAGACCCGGTTGAAATGTCATTGCCACGTCAAGTCAGTGTGAAGTCAAACACAGGCTGTTTTTGCTGTTAGTGCTCGACCTGTCGCTGCTGCAATTCACAACTGTTAAAATTAGCCGAACACTTCAGTTCCTCTGTCTTTAGAATAGCGTGGTGATACTGTGAGAGTGAGAACCCTTGCTAGCTGTCTTTCTGTTGATAATGGGGACAAAGCCAGTTTGGGGGCTGGTATTCCCACCAGTGTTATCAAAGCTGAAGGCCATTCAACATAGAAAAACAGACATTTCTGTGCAGAAAAGGATGCAACCTGACAGCCACAATAAGGGAGAAAATGTCACTTGTGTTCCATTTGCTTTTTAACACTGTTGACAGATTTCTAAAAAAAATCTCATCTAAATAATCCTAAATAATGTCCCTGTGTGCTACTGTTATTTGATAGTGTCGTTCATTCCACACTTAACATATAGCATTCTTTAAATGAAACCACCAAAAATATGAAACCATTTCTGCACAGACTTTGCATTTTTATCTTCAATGCGTATCGCTCCTAAAAAAGGTGAAATTGCCACAGCAATCGAACAAACAATGTTGTCTGTGACATGTTCTGTTACGCTAGAGAAAGATGACAGCTGCACTCATCTATCTTCCCATAATTCTGCCTCTGCTCCGCTGTAGCTCATACATCCCCTCCTTGCTGCAGGAGTGTTTGGCACATTTGCCAGACAGATTAATCAAAACCAATAACCCTTACAGCGTCCCTTCCAAAGAAATACTTCATCCATGTCTCTCAGCACAAAGGCATTTCCTGTGATCCTAATGTTCTTGAAAAGTAACAAATGCCACAGAGCAGCATGGGAAAACCAGTCAGGACGCCGGAGTGGTGTTTGTTTCCAGACGTCCTTATGAAGGGCTTCCAGCAGGACAGTGATGGAAAGCTCTGAGGCTGAGTTGATAGAGGAGTCATGCTGACCAGTCACGATGACAGATGCTCTACCTGTTGGCATGTTTGCTGCTTCTCAGGCGTGACTCATCACAGGTGGTGAGCTCGGCTGTAGATTCTCCCTTTTGGGGAGAAATTCTGGTGTGACAGAATTTAAGTGACCTAAACCACCTCTGAGTGTTGGGAAAATGTTTTGTATGAATATCAATGGCACAAATGTGAAGAATTAATTTAGTTCTGATATATTATGAACCTCAAAGAGTCTGTACAATGGTAAATCAAATGGTGGAAACACAGGTCACATATGTGAAAGTTCTATTACTATTCAATTAATCACTTTTAACAGCTTCAGGGAGCTTCCATCTTATTTAAGAATGCTTTACCCTGCATTGAAATTCTCCCAACAAGAGCTGTAGTGATGAAAATGTGTCAATGTCACTTTGAACTGAGGGCCTGTATTTATAGGTTTAACAGAGCCTCATTTTGATACTGAGCTCTATTAATTGAGCCCTCCGCAGACATCTCTGTGCATCTAAAATAGGTAGGAGGTCCATCATGGAGGTGATAAGGGACAAAGTAGGCCAAGGACTATATGAGAAAATAGTCTGAATCACAGAGGAGCAAGACCATCCGGGGAAAGAACAGTGGAACGAATGTGGGTTAACAATAATCCTGGAAATTAAGTGTGCCGGCACTCAATGAAGAAATCAAGTGAAGAAACAATGCAGCTGGTGACCACGTCAGGTTTGATTTCTCCTGAAAATGCTCGGATTTGATGACAAACAGCTTCTACCTTGAGGGCTGAGAGTTAACAGTGTAAACAGATGTGGTGGGGGATGAATGGGGAGGCCTTTTTCTCAGATTTCAGAATTCACAACCTGTCTTTTTATAACAACATGGCTTGTTATTGATGAAATGGCTGACTAGACTTTATTGATCCATTTGTTGTACACTCTTGATCCTGACGATGAGTGACATGCGTGGTACTTTCATGTAGGTGACCGAAGCATCACTGGGCTAATGCAAAGGGACAGCCAAGCACAAACAATTACACTCATACTTGAAGTTAATTTCAAATCAACGTTGTACTCTTCCACAGTCCTGAATAATCGCATTTTTTACAGTCAAGAAACAGAAATACTATAATTGTACGACTTAACAGATGTATTCAACAGGAGTAAATGCGCAGATCAGAAGACTTCTGAGTCAAACTGGAAGACATGCAGAGCTAAAAGAAAGTATGAAAGTGTATCAACTTCTCACACCCTCCGGTCACACAAACTCATGTTTGGGAAGTTGTAAATTATCCAGGGGGCATTGCTGGTATTCACTTATATTTTCTTGCTTGTCAGTCAGAAAATGATCTGAATAGTGCAGCCTTCTTTGTCCAGATGACACAGGTGTGGCTGATGAAAATAGATTCAATTACATTTCCAATCAGTTTAATTTTGTAGCACTAAATCTAAACATAAGACATTACAAGGAACGTCAAAGGGGAAAACGGTTCAATACAAATTCGATTAGACATGGCGGATATTAATCCAATTAGAAGCATGAGCAGTTCATTTTATCATAATCTTAGTAAGTAAAGTTCATTATAACTTTATAAATATGTCCATTAATCTAAATATCCCTTTCAAAGCAGCTGGGTTTAAGATTAAGTCTTTCACTCTGACTTAACAGAACTACAGTATATCCTAATAACAAAAAATAATTGAGTAATGCCTGTCTTGTTACTGCCCTAAAGCAAATTAAAGTGAATAGTTGAGACATTGCAGGTGTTTTGTTTTGCCTGTATAAGCCTTTTAAATGCATAGACAGTACAGACCTAAAATAAGCCAAAATCATAAAAATGTCTTTAAATAGCTTTATAACTTAGCAATATTTATATATTTATATTTTATAGTAATTCAATTTGGGAAAGAAAATTGAAAATCTTTTTTTTGCCTGCACTGTCCTCAAGTGGTGACATTTATTACTACAAGATTTTTTTTTTTAAATCACAGAACTACACAGAATTTCAAAACATCTGCACAATCTTTATTTACAGGTCCTTGCATGACAAAAGGTAAAACATACACACTGCGGTGACAGAGTGAATCTTGAATCTACAGAGAAGTTCAATGATAACGTGCACTCGAACTATGGCAGAGGCTCAAAATAAGTAAAATTCCCCTTCTTATCAGGATCATGTTTGCTGGGTTTTACGTTTCTTACACAGAGATATATCCAACATAAAGCTGTGTTTAATATTTGCAGTTCAGTGTGTTTTACTCAATGAGGAATTGACAAACAGGCCAATAACCAGTATAACAAAACAAAACCTTTATATAGTTCAGTTTTAACAGATCTCTTAGCAGAATCTACACTTTTTCTAGCTGCTCAGGAATAACAGAGGTGGACACGGGCTTCATTGTTGAGAGACATTTAGGAAAATGACACCCCTGGCTAAAAGGTAGCGGATTTATGTTTTTCAAGTGCTAAAGTCAAAGATGGAGGAGGCGTTCTGGTCAGGGACTTCAGGATGGGCTGAATAGAGCAGCCCATGGCACTTGGATCTAATAAAGGAGAGAATTCGGCTTTTGAACTGGCAGTGGATCCATGGTGAGGCGCGTGGGGAAAATGATCATGGTTTTAATCCTGACTCACACAAAGACTTCACCAGCTATGTAGCATGCACTCTGCATAAAGAATGTAGTAAAAAACAGTCTTGCACACAAATCATTTTCCGTCACCCAAAATAAACTTTAGCTTTACTTTATCTTAACATTTCACAGGTGAATGTGTGTTAAAAGGACCTGCACAAGTTTGTGCCTGTAGTTCAAACTGCAAACAACACCCAACAGAGGTTATGTAGCCATACTTTTTTTAGTTTGTTTTCCACTCAGTGCGCTGTTATTTGCAGAGTATCCATCTATTGTTTGATCCAAAAAATAGGGCAGGCTGAATGGGAACATGATACTGTGCACATTTTCAGACTCAGTTCTGAGGTGTAAATAGTAAGAAAAAAAGAAAACAAAAAAATACGTTATTTTTCCCCATGTAAGCTAAACTGAACTTCTGCATGTGCATCATAGGAGCAAATAAACTAAGATCAAGTATGTTAGACAACTTTTCTCTGTGACTGCCCAGGACAACCAGGTTTATTTGCATCTCGTTTCTGGAAAACTCTAAACAGAAATGTAAAACTGATAATAGTTCCTTGGCTGCCAGAAAAACATGCTTCTTAAAAGAGAAAATATCTTAAACTAAATTAAAGCAGCTTTGATGTCAGCCTTTTCCGTGTCGTCCCATTAAACATGTAGTAACTGGACAACACCAGATTTAGGCCTGATGATTCCTTCACACAAGAAAGAAAACTATAGTGAATATAATGTACGACATAGTACTTAAAATCAACATTGTTACTGAAATGTGACTGTTGGCCCTCAGGCTTAATTGGCTCTGGAGATATTAGTTTTGTTGTTGTTTTTTTTCGTCCTAAATATGAAATTAAACAATGGTTGCGGATCCCATATTGCACAGACAAAGGCTTTAAAAGGAGACTAAAGGGCTGAAAGCAACTTATAAAAAACATTTGGAACTGAGACACACAAAAGTGGGTTAAACAAAACACCTTTAAAAAAAAGAAGCATTTCAAAACGTTACTACTTTCTCCTGACTTACATGAAGCAGCAGGTTCAGGTTGGGAGGATTAGCGATAACCTGGCTACTTCCTTTTCACAGAAGCAGTATCTTCTTCCTTCAGCACAAACTTTTTCCTGAGAGCTTCAGAAATCAGTGTGGCTGAGTCCTCCTCTCTGAGCGACATGCAGCCTCTGTTGTATCTGAAACAAAACAGAAACAGTGTGTCATTAAAACAGCAAGCAAACGGCTAACTGCACTTTTTTTTTTTTTTACACCAACATCTCTCACCTGTCTTTGCTCATCTTCATTCTGTTCATGTCCCTCAGTATGTCTGTGACATCAGCAAAACTAGTGGATTTGGAGAGTGAAACCGTGTCCTCTTCTGCCTCCCTGAAGTCCATGCTGGGTCTGTCCAGATCAAATGTGGCTGAGGCCGTCATGGAAACGGGCGGCATAGGGTCATGGATGAGCTCTGACACCACAGAAACATCTTTCTCATCCTCCTCTTCCTCCTCCTCCTCCTCCTCTTCTTCTGTAACGTCGCTGATGACGAAGGAAGCGGGGGCCATGGTGGCTGGCTGGTAGGACGCGGCCTCAAAAGGCGCCATGGAAAAGCTCATGCTTGTGTCATCGGGGGAGAGCAGGTCAGGAGTCAGGGAGTTGGAGCCTGAAAGATAACAAATGAGCCAGTCAGTTGACTTTTGTTAAGGGGAGTTTGTTCCTTTCAAGCACTGAATGTCCAGCTAATCACTCAACTAACCTCATTTCTGCTCAACTAGATTCAGAGTAAGTTCCCCTTTGGAAAATTTTACAATTTCATGAGATAACTATTCATTATTATCAGAGCCGCATGACTTAAATATTTCAAACCAATAAAGAGAAATGTACTGAGAAGAAAGCTATAAAAGTTGGAATGCATGCCATTTTCTCTTTGTGTGTCTGCTGGAACTCTCTGATGAGTGATGACAAACAGAAGTGGTAATCTCGATCACTGATCCTCAAACTGATTCCAAGACATCTTAGAACAAAAGAGCTTAAAGGGAATCAGGGCAGCTGATGGCAAGAGGTTATTCAATTAGATGAAGGCAGCAACTCCCAGTTTAACACAAATCTGTTAATTCAATTCAAAGAAATACCTTAAGTCTACATTGCTGTGAGCTGCCTGATGTTTAACAATCTATGAAGTCATTAAAACCAGTATCAGTCTCAGTTTGCAGCATTCCCATTTCAAGTTTTAAGAAAAACGGTCACCAACCAGAATCATTTGACACAATCTTGGCAATCTGAGCCCGTAGTCTGCTGAGCTCATCCTGTAGGGCTGTAGTGCGATTCATCGCGGTCACCCCAGGCTTCCTGAGCCCCTCCATTCGTTTGCCTTCACGGCGGAAGTTGGGCACAGACGAGTTCCTGTGGAGCACCAGCAGCGGTGTGGGTCTCCATTCGTGTTTCAGAGGACGTGCGTCGCTCCTAAAAACAGACCAGTGATTCGAGTCACCAAACAGCAGATTACATCATGTCTAACCTAACATGTTCAGGCAGACAATTTAATGTAAGATGAAAGTTCTCTGATGCCATTTGACTTTGACTTGTGATTAAGTGCTGGCAAAAATCCAGTGCAACAGCAATATAGTACAACATGCTTATTTTCATTCTAAGAATGTCATATTTCATTATTAAAAACAAAGCAAATGCTGTACCAAAGCAGAATTGTCATTTCTCTGAAACAATTTATTGACATTGTACAACATTCCAATAAGACTGTTTAGTAACCTGGAATTTGAAAGTGAAGTTAAATGTTCTTAATTAGGAATGACTTGGAAGTGTTCCATATGGATAAAATTTGAAATTCAGGGATTAAGTGGAGACTTGCCTCACTCTGGCATAGGTCTCCTCTTCATCAGCAACAATCCAGGCTATGTCTGCAAGTGAAGGAACCAGGGGGCCATCCGTAGGACGAAGAGTCGGCAGGCCAGGTAGTTCCTAAACCACAAACACATGAGTTGATGCACACACAAGGAAAGTTACAGATATTTTTGTGATCAAAGCTTTTAAAAAATAGAATGTTAGATGTACCTGGAAACATGCCCTTTGAGGAGGTTTGAGGGGAAGAGTTGAACCGATTCTTCTAACGACACTGCGGGTTGATCCATGGGGCTTATTCTGCCAGATAGGTATAACTTCCTGCAAAAGGTGCAAAAACATTACTAAGCTATTTTCAAATTGCAATTGCTTTTTCACACGTTTCAATCTCCATCAGCAGTTCATTGAGGTCAAAGCCAATTCTATTAGAAGTCAGAGCACAAACTTACTGTTTCTGCTTCCATGATAACAGCTCAGTCTCATTCGTTGGGCAAATGTGCACTAAGACTTGGAGCTTGCAGAGTCTGAGGACCAACAGTACAGTTAACAGATGTTGTCTTACTGTGCATGCAAACGCCTAGGATTAAAAATGTGCAACTAGTTAGAACTTCTGTTGAGAGACAAAACCTTCACAGATATTGTTGAAATACTGTTTTCATCAATAATAACACAAATGCTCCAGTTTAGACATTTTTCCAATACATTTTCAATACGTAGTGTCAAATATAACCAATAAATAACTTGATATCTCATTGCATACAGTTTGGATTCATACTTATTACGTCCGAAAGTGTGGTGGCGACACTCGTATTGATGATCAAATTTAACAGTCAAAACATGCCAGGATGCATGGATCTCCATGATTTGCACAATATATTATTCGGTGATACATTGTCGATATTTTGCTCAACCACAAACTCTAATAAAATTGTAAGATTAAAATTATTGAAAGGTCTCATCAAAGCTTGACAAGCTAGCTTCTGCTATCACTTTGTCCTCATACCAAAATAGCAATTGTCATCTAAAGAGGAAAATACTATTCTGATTGCTAAGCTAACGGACCAACATCAGCCGATTATGCTCATGATAAAAACGCTTTCCACGTTCACTAGTAATTCTGGTAATGGCAGAAAAGAATGCACTACAAATGACAACCATTTGTGAACTACGACGGGGGCGACTTTAGGTAAATATAACAACAGCCGGTTGCTAGCTTAGCAACGGGTATCTTGCACACGGGGACCGTCAGTTAGCTAGGCAACAGACCCTTGGTTGACCCACAAATGTTTCATCGACGTTTGACAAAAATCTTAGATCATTTTCACAAATTTCCGTCAACGCTGCAGAACTGTAACTTACAACAGATTAAGGCCGAATCGCAGAGTGCTTACACATCACAGTATCGAAAAAACAACGCTTCTCCTCTTCGTCTTTCACACTGTTGTCGTTGATGAGGCCGGAAACCTGTGCCACTATGTCCTGCGATCTGATTGGCTAAAGCCTGGTACTCTTTCTTTGCCAAAACCAATCGGAATCGGTTCAAGAGCTCCCTCTACGGATGAAGGGGATCAGTGCTGAGTAAGGGACGTTTCATGGATTAATATATATTCTTTGGACTAAGGCTTGCAGAGGGTATTCACTAAAACAAATCATAATTGATGAGGCCATACAGACTGCTGGGAAAATCTAAAAAAGGCTTAGACAGTTTGGGGATAGATTAGACCAAAAGCAGAAGTTCTGGTTTTAGGAAGTTATCCATTTTGAGAAATAAAAAAACCCCTGTGTTCCAACAAATAAACTGCTGGTGTCATGACCTGGGTCTGTTTTGTAGCTTTCTTTTTTATACTGGCTTTTCGTGAGTCTACTCTACATTTGAAAAAGAATATCTAAAGGAAAGCATCAGGAGATGTGTCATTCATTCAGTTACTAGGTCAATAGAATCATGCAGAAAATCAAAGGTCACTTAGCTTTACACCAAAGATAAATTCATCAATAAAATTATCAATAAACGACTTATAGCACATTTCTACTTCCGCCTTGGCAGGCATTACTCAGTCGGCCGGAGTGGAACTATCTTGACGTGTCGCCATGAATCCTTCTTCGCCACAGGGCGGAGCTTGAGTATTGAAATTGTTTCTGTTGTCTGCAGTGATATCATAACACTGCAACATGAAGACAGACCCATGTGACCAGCACCAGTCTCCATCCCCGGGCAAGGCACAGGTCAGTAAAAACACCGCTCATAGTCCCCTCTATGGATCCTTTACGAAGACTCTGATGCTGATGTCATTTGTTTGTGCCATAGCTGCTGTCTCGATCATTCTGTAATGTCGTGTGAAATGCCTACTTCCTCGTCTGGAGATAAAATCAGCTCCCAGCATGTACAGGAAGCAGTTCTTACATTCTCTTTAACGTAGGACTGATAAATTGGAGAGGCTCCTTAAGTGTGCAGAGGAAAGATAAGCTTACCCTGGACAAGCTAATTCAGACATTACTGTACATGCATATGGACCACTTCAGCCCAAACATGTCGTATGAGTTCCATAGCTGCAGTCTGATGCATTGCAACATGCTTTTGACGTAGTTTCATGCCTGCTCACACACACACCTAGCATTACAAAGGGCCAAGACACACATTAACTGATCTGAAATATGGATAACCTCCTAATATTCTGGTCAGATATGTTACAGATCTTTAAACATTTAGGGGAAGACTGTTACATGTGCCATGCAAACCTGAGCAGTGTGATCAAAGTGATTGGCACCACTGTCTTATATACAAATTACATGTGATGGCTGACTATTTTATGACATTCTACTGAAGGCTTCATTATTCCCATGAATGTCTGGCTCACTTCCTTACAGGGTCATGTGGCTGCAGGTACAGTAAGCTTTGCCCCTCATTAAGTCCTGTGAATGTTTGTAAAACCAGCCCACATTTGCTGTCTTGTGTAGATCCTGTAACTGGGGCAAGAGGTAGGCATGGAGATTAAACGGAGGAGGGATGCCAGCTAAACCCCTCATCCCTCGGCCCCTACCACTGCTGCAACAATCGGACTGAAAAAAGCAGAAAATGGCTCAGTCTGTTAGGAGGCCAGACACTTTAGGAGCCGCCAACCTCGAGCCCCAGAGGAACAAGACCAGGACCAGCTACTTCTGCAATGTAAAGACCAGGTCAGTGAATGGATTACTGGAAAGAAAGAAAAAGGAGAAAGCTGTCTTGTGACACATTTGGCTGGCATTTGCCTCGCAGGTTTACACATGCTACCGTTCAGTTTTTCAGTTCGAAGTTGGACATTTTTTTAATCTTTAGTTACAAAATGCACATTTCCATCAGGTGGTTTTATACTATAAATGAAGGAGTTCTTAACAGAGCATCATGTCGGTGAGAGCAGCACCATTTGCACAGACGACTCCTACTCTACTATAAATAACTCAGAGCAGACTGTGAATGCTGCTTTGTTTGGTTATCCACATTCAAACCCCAAAATCCTTGAAGCGCTGCTTATAACAAGGAAAATCCGCACTAAAGACTATTTATACTTTGGTTCAGTTTACAGAATATGTAAGATATTTTTCTATTTTATTTGGCAGACTTTAGCGGATAGCATGCGGTTCAGTACCATACCCAACGTTATCATCATCATCATCATGTTCAGTGGAGCAGTTAAGGATTAAACTACCAACTATGGGAAGATGTAGTGATGTAATTATGTTCATTACAAAACGCTCAGCCCCTTGAACTCTTGGTTGGGTTTCACTTTCTTTTTTTTTAACTTGGTTTAGAATTAGATTAGAATCAATCTAACAATGCCGTGTGACACTCCAACCTAGATATTGACTAGCGGTAACGTAATGTGCTGCTCCCTCTCCCAGGTTGGGATCCAAGCTCCCCGCTGGTGTCTCTCAGCCTCCACAGTTTGCAAAACCCCCCTGGGAGGCACAGCCCCAGGGTCGAATGATGCAACAGGCCAAAGCCAGCGACCAGCGGCAAACACAACCTATCATGAGCCGGCCTCTCAATCACATCCCCCATATCCGAAACCCCAAGCTGCGGCAGTACTACCTGCAAGGTACTCCGCAGTGTTTGATATTCTCATGCAAGATGCTGTGTGTTTGCATCATGCAGTGGCAAAGCTTCTTTGTGAGGAACTGCAACTGGAACTTGCATATGATTTTACAGCCTATGTCTTTGCATAAATTTTCATACAGAGAGAAATGGCAGCTATACGAGCTGGAGCGACTTCTTAGAATCATCCCGTTGCTTCCTCATGGTTCTGCTCTGTACTGGGGAACTAGGTGATTTATCGTGTGTCATGACAGAGATATGTTTGTTTTTTTCCCCTCGCAGAGACTTCGTGGGATCTAAACAAAACTGTAGTGACAAAAGACCATGTGGATGTAACATCAGATGTAAGTCACATGTTCGTTTTTTACTCTATATGCTCTAGTTTATCCCTTGAGGACAGTGAAAAACCCAGCTGTGGGAGCAGGTAAGAGAAAAGTCAGGCTAGGTGTGGATTTACTGACACGTTTATGTAACACTTGATAAGGGTTGCCATGGAGAACACTTTCAGCTTGGTACAGTAATTGGTCTGGCAATTTATGGCCTTGAAAATTATTCAGATAGGGAGTGTCCAAGGTTCAGAGATGAACTGACTGGCAGAGAAGGCTCTGACACCATGGGGAAACAGAGTCTGTTTAAAAGCTTCTGCAGAAAATACAGTCCCAGGAATGGACTTTTGGGTATTTATTCCAAGGTAATACAGTTCTTTTTTCTATTTGACTGCAGGTCCTTGGCTGACAATATGAGGCGATTTCTTATTTTTTAATTGCCTTGATGAGCTCATGTTGAAGCAAGTGTCAGTGCTTATTGTTGAAAGCTTTCGGCTTTTAATGTTAGCTGTTTAAGCCTTGTTCTTACTTTTCTTCCACAGCCTTTTAACTTTCTGTTTTCTCAGGCCAGTCAGACTTACTGCACCTTTTTGGATTTGATAAGTGGTTCATGAGAGGAAGCCTGTGGTCATGCAGAATTATAGAAAATTTGTGATGATTTGGGTGCTGACTAGATAATAAAGTTAAAACCATTTTCATATTGTTTTTCCAGTTAATAGAGAAAAGAAAGAGAAAGTATGAAAGAATGGACATTGACTCGTCTTAAGACAGCTGCAGGGTCACACCCATAAGAGAATGGTCATCGTGTGTGGTTGTGTAACTTCCCAATAATCTTGATTACGCCATTTTTCAGTGGATGACGATTTGTGTTTGACTCCAATCGAGAGTTGATTCTGTCATTTGTGTCATTACTGGAAGTTCCCGCTGTTTTTTTGTTTTATTTTGCTGTCTTGTCTTTGTCTTAAAAATGAACCCCCATCATTACAATGTCAGTAATGCACTGAATTCGGTGGATTAATGAGAAAAATAATTGTGTGAGTCACTTACATAGGTGGCCCTAAAGGCATTTTTTCAAAAATGCAGCAGGCCTTTTCTGTTTTGTTTTGTCTGAAGAGCAGGTATCTGTTCCAGATTCCGCAGCATATCTTTGTGGAAGTGTGAATTGCAGAGATTTATTGAGGACTTCGAAAAACAGTTGTTGTTTCTCCCCACGAGTGGTCGACTAACAAAACCACTCGGAGGGAAAGATGTGTAAGAGTAATGAAATTTACAAAATAATTCTCTAACAATACAATAATTACACATTTGAGGAACTTTGGCGTTCATCTGACACCTGCTCCCATTACACATGCAGTACTTAACTTGGTGAGGTTTCAGTGCTTTTCGTGACTTTTAAAGTGGTTTTAAGGACTGTTGTATATCACAGTAGTTTCTATTATAAAATAAAAATTGGGTAACCTATACATACAAAAAGTAAGACCAAAGAAAATACTTACGGTCCCTTTAACTCGATCCCATTCATTCATTCCCACCCATCTTACTGCCCTAGATCCTCACGCTAAATCTTCACACCCACATGAGGAGAGTAGGACACATTAATAAACTTATCTTGTACATTTTGTTTAAAAAGTTTTGTTTAACTTATCGAGGACACTTTTTTACATTTCACACTAGAATGTTGAAGTGTTTTATTTTTTCCAGGTCTAAACATGACATGAGGTCAAATAATGGCCATTTGTGGGTGGGAGTTGCAGAGTCCCTCCACCTGATTTGAATTGCCCTCCTCTCAGGCAGGGCACAAAACAATAACTCCTGTCTTTTAAAGGGCAGCAAAGTCAGTAGAGCTCTTTGAACAGAAACAAACACAGGAATTGTTCTGTGCTTATCTCTTGTCTGTATAGGGTCTCCCTGGGGACACTGTGTTTAGCGTGTCGTCTAAATTCAACAGTAACAGCGCTCCCACAGCGGACGAGGGCCAAGTGGGCCACCCGCCCACTAATACCTGCTCGCAACTCAACCTATTCTCTGCCCTCATACCTGAAAAGGTAAGAATCAACCTGCAAGCTCATGGTGGCTACTGACAGGTAGTGGAAACGACACACGGATATAAATTTGAAATGCAAAATAAGACTCTCCCCTCTGCCTCTCCCCTCTGCTTGTTATACCAACAGTAGCAAGAAGCAGCTTGATCCACCTCATTACAGTCATGCCTCTGCACTAAAACAGACTGGTAATGGTAGTTTAGTGTCATAAAAAAGGTTATTGAAATGGCAGAAGTAAGTGTCCCCGCATATATCTACAACCCTCATGTTGTTTGGTACTCAGAAGTAACAATAGACACAAAGAGGAGGAGCAATGACAGCTGAAAGAGGAAGTGATCCCTCCTGTCTCTGGTTTAAACAATATGTTCAAGCCAATGTCAGTGCTAACGTAGTCATGACCTCTGTTCTGAAGCAGCTGCTCTCAAAGGGAAAAAAGGCATCGACCAGCGAAGGATCATCTCAACTAGATCTGGACTTGGACTCGGGACCTGAAAAAAAGCTACAGGGAACCACAGGCGAAGAAGGTTTTGATCCACTCAACGTTCAGCCTCCGTCCCCCTTACCAGAGGCTGAGTATGACAAACTACTGGTAAGCAGAAAATAACTTCCTGTTTATATATACATATACACATGTTCATTCAGGGAGCTTTTATTAATATCTGAAATATCCTGAAAATGATTTATGATCACAAAGTTTAACCGCATTTTTGTAGCCACATATGTGTAGTCTTTAGTGCCCCTGACTGGAAACTTGACGGGAGTCTGTGTGTTTTTTTTTTTTTATCTCTGTGTGGCCTTGTGATGGAATGGGAATGTGTCCAGAGTGCACCCTGCCTCGCGCCCCTTTATTTAGTGTTTAACTGTGATCCCGGCAGGACGTGGAGGCGGTGCCGCTGCCTGATGGACAGCTCTGCCTACTGGCTCTGCCTCCAGAGTGCTGTCAGGGGGACGGGCCGGAGTCCATGCAGTACCTCAAACTGTTCTGCCGCTACATCACTGACCGCAAGGTGGGGATTACCCAAGCTGCTCTGGTCTCAGTTTTGGGCTTGTTAGTGAGCTCATTTCAGTCCTTTCTGTTTCTCTGTTAGGGTGTGGTTTCAGGTATCCTGCTGGTGACTCCTAGTAAAATCTTCTTTGACCCCTGTAAGACACACCCACTGGTGACTGAGCATGGCTGTGAGGAGTACCTACTTTCCTGCTCTACGGACAATCTGGCATCTGTCTCCTTCTACTCTGACATTTCCCACGTTCATTTCAACACCTCCCAGATGAGGTCAGCATTGATTAAGTGTTGCATAACGCACAACACAGACAAAATTAAATTCCACAAAAACCTGTTAGGAACCATCGTTTTTTTTTTTTTTTAAACGTTTTGTTCTCTTTTGATTTTAGGAGAAGAGACAAAAACCTTTTCCAGAAATGGAAAAACACCAAAATCCAAACGGGCAGCCTCCCGAAACAGGAGGGTCAGTCTGTACCAGCCCTGGTGTCCGCCGCTCCATCGGATCTGCCCTGTCTACCCCTGAGCTTGACCGGGCAGGTTTCTGAGGAGGAGGAGTCAGACAGCAGGGACATGGCGGAGGCTGAGCGGGAGCTGGTGGGCAGTGCTGATTCGGAGGAGTCCGCGGGCAGCCTGGCTGTCCTGAGCAGCGCGGCCACCTTTTGCTGTGGAGCTCAAGAGCCGGCTGGCAAAGTGAAGACAGACCTGCTGGACACAGAGACGTCTTCTGTGAAGAGTCAGATGGCAGGTGTGTGTTGTATCCTCCCAGTTTATGTATCAATTGTTTCTATTGTATAGACTGTGAGTATTTTTATTTTCCAGCGCCTGTGAGGTCGGCGGCCGCTGGTCTCGGGGGTCTGATGTTTGTGCGGCTGCGGGTTCAGCCGTCTTCAGGGAAGAAGAAGGGTGGGGGAGGTCTCCATATTGGACCCACCAAAACCTTACCAAAACGGGACACCTGGCTAGCCCTGTCACAGGAAAGGTGATTAATGTTCTACAAAAGCATCCTTTGTGTCAACTCAAAAACATTCATTTCTCCATATTGCATATTCCCTCCGTCATCCTCTACTACAGCTAATGATTTTAAGGTAAACAAAAGAATCCATAAGCAGGTAGCTATTTAAAAGTCTTTGCTGACTTTTTGTGGCTCTGGTACTTGAGTGCTACTTTTGTCTTTGTAAGTTGTCTACTGCTGTGGGGTGCTGTAATTACTGGCGGGGTGTGGTTTCTACAGTTGTTCCGACTAAGGGACGAGCCACTGCAAATCATGTTGTCACCATGTGAATCATACATTATGGCCTTCACTATCAACAGATCTTTGCCCAGTAAAGCACCCAGCATGGGAGACAGAACTCTCCAACAATGGTTAAAACTCTTAATAAAGCCCCCAAGACCTTGTCAATGAGTGACTCTTTAACATAGCATCTCCGCCCCCAAACCGGGGACTATGTTTTGAGAAGAAAATGTTAAAACCTTAGAAACCTGATTGGGATTGTAATTCTTACCTTGCAGTAGAATAGAACAGCTTATCAAAATATTCCTCTGTGAAAAGATAGAGCTGAAATAGGTTCTTCCTCACAAAGGCTAAACGGTTTGCACATGGCAGTGTCTCATTTCTGGGTATGTTGACGCAGCTGTCGCTGCCGTTTTGTGGATTCAATAAGCCTGAGAGAGCCATTCTTCTCCCGCTGTAGCTCCGACGAGCTGCATGCCTATCTGAAGCGCTGCCGGCCAGACTTGTGTGTCCTCCGGGGGGAGGACGAGTGTGATGAGGAGGGATTCGTTCTCATTGAAGACGAGGAGGAGGAGGATGAGGAGATTTCCCAGAGGCACCGTGGCTCAGCGGAGGATTGGGAGGTGAGTGGGTTCATGTCGGGCGGCAGGACACAGATGTCAGCCGCACATACAGCAGAGATTCATAGGTCAGTGTATGTGTTCCACGTTGAACACATGATGGAAGACACTGCAGACATTGTGATTTGGGGTGTCGTGGTACAACAGGAAGTTACTTAGTTTTCAAACACATCTGTGTTTTATACTTATCTATATCAGCTGGTTTTGATGGAGGAGAGCAAGGACAAGCCGGCCCTTGTCGCTGACAGGGAACCCGAAGGGCTGAAGAACGTTATAGAAAGCAGCCAAATTTTGGAGGCCTCACATGTCAGAGAGGTGAGTGACACATTTCCAAAGTGTTCTCGATCTGGTGAAATACTCTGTGTGCTGTTGATCTGTGTGCAGCGGCTTTATTCATGCCCGTTATCAAATTTGTGTGAGGTTATTTTTTACCTCTGTCTATTTTAAAAATGGTGACTTCCGTTAAAATGTAAGCAATGGCCGAGGTTGAGTTTTTTTTTTGTTTGCTAGCTGAGAAACAGTATTTTCAGCTAACAAACTCACAGTAAAAACAAAGCTTCAGCCTGTCATCCATTTCTGTAGATGCAATATGATATGTTTTATTTTAAATCTTAAGGTTGTCTTGTGTAAATTATCTGGTAGCTTTAGTAGTTTAGCTTATTGACCAATGATACGATTTTGAGGATCAGCTGTCTTTTAAGAGAATGAGTTTTTTAAGATTCTTTGTATAAAATACCATCATATTTTAATAATAAGTTATCCCTTTCTAGAGAAAAGTTGCTGAGTTGGTGTTTTAAAAAAAAATTGTTTTTGTATTTACATGACATAAACCTTTACTTACTTTGAAAGCTGAACAGAACATTTAAGGTAAAATTATGTGAGACCAGTTCTGTGTAAATGTTTGAACTTTGGATTATGGTTTGCATCCCATTGTGTAACTCTTGTTACACATTGTTGGTATTTGTAAAAGTTGAGCTATTTTCGTGGCAAAATTCTGTTTTGAATTGGTAAGTCTAAACAGAAAATCACAGCATTGAAAATGGAATTACAACATAAAAATAAACATTTGGTTCAACTGAGCATAAGAACTCTGACTGGTCTTCATGAGTAGGACCTTTCTGTGGCCACAAGTACATGATCTGAGGTCCTTCACATTATACATTTTTATCCAAAATATTAGTGCGGGCTTCTTTAGTCCAACGTCTAAGTTATGTGTGTGTGTTTGTTGTGTTGTGGTGGACATTTATTACAGAAGTCATCAATATAATGAAGCATTTGAATCATATCAGAGATGTTGACCACAGTCTTTAATATATACGGGACAAACATTAACATTCTGGTTTTGCCATTTTACTTTTTATACAGGATTACTGACAGAAAATATTTCACAGCTTTACTTTGTGATGGAGCCCAAAATAAGTACATGTTTATATCCCTTTAACGCACGTAAATGTGCAGAAAATGCTGATTAGATTTGATTAAAAACACAAAAAACTAGTGTATTACATGTTTTTTCATGGGTCAGGCTTGAAAGGGTTGATTTTGCCTTCCTGAAGCGTCATCATTTCAGTTTAATACAAACACAGGCGGTGTTTGCTCATTGTTTTGTTTTGTTTTCAGCTGTGTAAGGAGCTGCCTCCCAGGACGGTGGGCCACACGTGGCAGCTGGCTTACAGCACGTCCCGTCACGGCGCCAGCCTCAAGTGTCTGTACAGAAAACTCAGTGCCACGGACTCTCCTTTGCTCATAGTCATAAAGGATGCACTGGACGAGGTAAATGTCTGAGCAGGACCTGAAAATGTGAACTTGTTCAAAGTAGCTGAGCTCACTGCTGTGGCTATGCTTCATCAGGTCTTTGGGGCCTTCCTCTCGCACTCTCTGAGGCCTAGCGAAGCATTTTATGGTACTGGAGAAACCTTCCTCTTCATGTTGCACCCTCGCTTCAAGGTAACTTATTCCCAGCAGGTAGCTGTGGTTAAGCTGAGTTAGTGAACAACACCTCTGTGCAGCAAATGCTACATGCTCGTCGAGGCCTGGAAATTGTGCAAATGTTTATGTGATATGTTGGTACAAAGCAGTTTTTGCATTTCACAGAAAAAACAATTATTCTGAATCAATGGAGCTAAAGCAGATTCATGATTTAGAAATGGTCAAAATTCATAATCCTCTAAAATCTGTTATCTGTCAGTGTTTCAGGTGGACCGGAGAGAACTCCTTTTTTATTAAAGGAGATTTAGACTGCTTCGCTATTGGTGGAGGAAGGTAATGCCCTCTTAACTTCTGCCTGCCCGTTGGCTTCCTGTCCCTAAGCAGCACTGTCTCTGTCTCTCTGGCTCTCCTCAGTGGTCACTTTGGGCTGTGGGTGGATGAGAACCTGTACCTGGGCCGCAGCAGCCCCTGCTACACCTTCAACAACTGCTGCCTTGCAGAAACGGATGACTTTCGCATCATGGAGCTGGAGGTGTGGACGTTCAGCTGAGGGGGTTGGATGACTTCTCCTCGACTGACGCTGTGGCCGCTGAAAGGCTTTAATCAAGACAGAATCTATCACTGAGCAAAAAGACGAAGCTGCTCATCCATGTATTGATAACGTCCTTATAGTGTATCAACAGCAAACTGCTGGATTTATCATTATCATATGCTGTGGGATTTAGCCCACGGAA